TCAAAGAAAACTTCCAACATTAAAGTTGTAGTCTTCCATGAAATCTACAACTTTTCTTCACAAACTTTTCCCAAAAGATGCTTGGATCTCAAGTTATGAATTTGTGAATATAGGTCCATGAACTTTTAACTTAATGAAAATTTGCCCTAATTTAGGCAGGTTTTTGACCCAACTTCATGGACATTTTTCACCTAGTTCTAAGAGGTATCTCAAAATTCATTTCAAAGATGGATTATAGATCACATTTCAAACTTTCTAAAATGTCTAAGAACTCTCCAAGATCATTTTTGGTTAGGGAGAATCGAAGAGGAGAAGTTGGCATTTTATCACTTTTGATCAAGCCATTTTTACAAAGCATCAAGTTGCAAATCAGATCTTTGATGTTTGAATCTTGCTTTACAGGTCCTAAACTCATTCTACACTCCATAATTAAATACAAACTCAGAGGTTATAGGCTTTATTTTCACTTTTGAAGCATTGTACAAGTTACATTTCCATTTTAGGCATAAAGGTTACAATGCCATTTTCATAAAGTGCAACTTTTTCAACTTTGTCCATCTTGAGCCTTGGACATGTCCCTTTGATGCAAACAATTTCCACATGTATGAAGCAATGTATAACAACTCTTATCAGCCCTTGAGGTAGCCAGTACAAGCATGTTGCATTTGTCATTTCACTTTACTTAAAATACAAGAAAAGTTGCAAAAGATGCTAGAACTTGTACAGCTAGTAAGGATTGACCTTTGTGTCATTTCTATACAAATATACAAAGTAATTACAATGCAAAACACGATTGCTTGACATCCAAAACACTCACAAACTCAGAAACTCCAAAATTCTGCCAAGTATACAGATTTCTACAAATTCATAGCAAACTCATTTTTTGCTCGTGCGTTTTGTGGCTTGACACTTCAAACACCTTCCACATATCCTACCCAAGCTATCCAAGCCCTTACCCTACATCTGTAAGCCATGTTTCAGCCATTTCCATTTTCAAACTTGGAGCTTGCAGCTTGACTTGTGCAGAGACTTCTGGCCATCCACAAAGCAAGCTAGGCATTGGAATAGCTTGAAGGAAGTTCAAGGAAGCTCACACGATCCTCAGGCCTCCATCAAAGTCCCTATATTGCTCTATCCAAATCCAACTGAAAGAGGTATTTTTCAAAACTCTATCTCTCTATTTAGGCATCCTCAAGCCACAATTTGTGAAGAAAAAATGTAGCCCTTATCATGGTGAAGATGTACATATGCATACTTTTCATTTATATTAACTATACTGTGAGAATTTGAAGCTTGAAGTTCATAAAATTTCTAGGTCACGAATTAGGGCCATTAAAATTCTCTCTGATCTTTGAGAGTTAGGTTACAAATTTTATATGATTGAAATCGTGAGATTAAATGCCATAAGTTTCATGTTATGAGTTTTTGTTTTTGTGCAAGCATTAGCAAGTTACAAGTTTGAACAGAAAACGCGCGCAGAAGAGAAGCTGGAGGACAGAGACGATGGTTTTGGGCCTTTGGCGTCTTGGGCCTATTGTTTCTGATTTTCACACCTCCTGAATTACTTTTGCACCCCCTGACTTATTTCTTATATTTTTGCATTTTCTTGCATATTTTTATATCTATTGCTTGCATTTATTTTTTCTAATGATAAAAAATGCCCAAAAATAATTTATTTATTTTCACACTTTTATTTTATTTTTTTATTTATTTTCTCACATAAAAATAGTTTATTTGATAAATAGATTTTATTTTCTTAATATAACTTGTAAATAATAAAAAATACTTAATATTTTTTTATATTACTTATACACATAAAATATTTATTTTCCATACATATTTAATTTTTAATATTTGCACATAATATTATTTATTATTTTCTTGTACAAAAATGGACAAAATAATAATATAGGAAACATTGTTTTCTTTTAATCAAAAAAATTAGGGTTTTCCCCTTTCAAAAAAAATAATAATATTTTTTCTCTTTTTCTAGGGTTTAATTAATTTATTTTTTCATACAAAAAAAATAAATACAAAACATTTTTTTCATAAATACATTTGCATTACATTTTAATACTTGTATATTTATTTAATGCGCACAATATTCAATTGGGTTGTAATAGTATTTTTAGGTTTATATTTGTGCAATATCCCCATTCAAAAACTTGTATCCCCTCTCCCATAATAATTGTTGTAATAGCTTAGTTTACATTTACGCAATTTATCGCTTTTATACCATGTTTAGTAAACTAGGGTTTGCATGATAAGACCAAAAACAAAACAAATAGAAAAGACCTAATCCAAGACAAATCAAAATGCATGAAAAATGACACACATTGCACACAAGCACCCTTAGGGTTTCATCCATTTGGTTGCCTAAATTTAAATGGCCATGTTACGCATGCGAAGTATCTTGGCAAAACAAAATAAAAATAAGATCATAGTCCCTCGATGACGCTATCAAAAGGTTGCCTAAACAAAATGATCTTGGTCCCTCAAAATGCTAAGATACTTGGCAACATTGCTATCATGGTCATACGATGAGTCACGCCCGTCCCGTTTAACATCCAAAGATAGGGTTGCTTACCAAATCAATGGTACGTCAACAATGTCAAGGGAATAAAAATGCACAAGAAAGACATTTGAGTAGGTAGATAGCTTCTAAGTTACTTGCTCCATTTCAAAACAATCCTTACTATTTTCAAAACAAACACACACACATTTCAAAACATTTTCAAAAACATCTTACAAAATATTGAAACATTTTTCAAAAGACAAACATCTTTGTATACATTCTTACGAACGAGAATCATTACAAAGATTGCCTAAACGAATGACCTCTTTTCAAAATACTTTCAAAATCACACCAAACACCAAGCATCATTTCAAACAATTTCAAGCAAAGCAAGTGATATAAGCAAGTAACTAAGAGCCCATGGAAAACCATGGATGAAAATGGTGCTAGCACCTTCCCTTTTCATAATCTACCCCCCGAACTCAAGAAAACATCTCAAAGGTCTTTCCTGTGCTTTTTTAGCTTTCCTTTTGGATAAAATAAAAGTCGGTGGCGACTCTTGCTAACCGCGGCATTTGCGATGAAACGCAAAACCTCAAGTCAATTCTGCCACCGTATCACAGGGTGTATGAGTAAGCTCTGGAGTTCATTATAATTTGCACAACACGTTTGGACCTTGAATCACAAGCCCAATAGCCCAAAATTCCAAGTTTGATCACTTTTGGTTTCATGCATTTGCTCAAAATTTCCCAACTTGCACCAATCATAACTCTCTCAATTTTTATCATTTGAAGGCGACCTTGGACTTTTTGGAAAGTTCAAGATGTCATCTACAATCCCTACTTTTATCATTTTTGCATTTGAAGAATTTATCTTGATGTAAGTTGCCTTGACAAAAAGTGTCTTTTTGTTGACTTTTGAAATGACCTATAATGTTTTGGCATATATCTCTCAAATGAAGCATTTTTTGGACTTGATCTTAGAGAGACAAAGTTGTAGAGAATTAAAATTTCTTCAAAATGAGCTTTTGTTAAGGAAAATCTAATGAAGCATGTGAAAGTTATGCTTAGTCAAAGTTCAGTTGACTTCTACTTAAAAAAACCCTAATTTGGCAACTGTTGATTTTTGATGTTTTGAGAGTTTTCTTGATGAATCATGATCAAGCCTTGATCAAATGATGAATATGACTCCAAAACCTTGATGTTGACTAAAAATATTGAGGTTTGATTGTATGTTGACCACAATTGACTTTTTATCCAATACAATTGATTTTCAGTCATTTGAGCCATAAACTGAGAAAACTTGTGATGCAAGACATGAAATTTAGTATGAGTATTCTTGGAGACATATAAGAAACCATGAAATCCACTTGAGGCCTTACAAATCCAATCTTCCTTGAAAAAAGTGAAACCCTAGTTGTAGGTCAATTGCTTAAGAGAAGAATTTGTCTGATCAATTCTTGAGCAACCTTGAGCATTTGAGAACCCTAGGAGAGTATCTTGAATAAAAATAGGAGGACAAATTTTGGGGTACAATAAAATGTCTTGGAGGTTTCGCTAAAAAGACCGACAATTGTAGTGTTCTTATTGCTAAATTGTGAAAAGTGTATGAAAATTTATTGCTTGCGAAAAGTTTGGATTTCAAAAATGTGGAAGTCAATATAAACTCTTGGATTGTAGTTAATGCCATCAACAACAATAATTCAAATACTATCATAGGAAAAACTATCATTGAAAGATTTATATCATTATTAAATCAAGATTGGAACGTAAAGATTGACCATATTTTTTGAGAAGCAAATTATTGCGTTGATGCTCTTGCTAAGAGCGATTTAAATCAAGAAGAATCCTTTTTGTGTTTTACTTCACACCCGAATCATATCAGACACATGTTTGAAGTTGATGTTTTAGGGTTTGACACTCGAGTTAGTTTTTTGGTGTAATCTTCATCTCATGGACTTAGGCTGTCTTTTTTATACCAAGAAGAGAATCAAACTTTATTATTTTTTACCTAAAGAAAAAATATTATCCAATTTTATTTATGGCAACTACAAGTCTACAACACTATACGACCTCCTTCTCAAAAAAATAAAATAAAATCTCCTCCACAACAATCAACAAGTACTTCGCTTTGTGCCTTCTCGGCGATACGGGTCATTAACCGACTCACAGATTCCTATTTTTCCGCTAAATAGATCACATTCGTCACCCTCTCTCTATATAAATGAAACCTTCATAGTTTTTCACAACTCTCTCCTCGCGAGTTCGTAACTCGGGGTTCCTCTTCACGATTCTCCGAATATTTTCCATCATTTTCCTTATAAAGAAAAAAAAAAAAACTCGATTCGAATTTCGATCTCTTCTTTATCTTTCGTTATTTACCAATTCATCGCTTTTGTAATCTACATCGCAGTTAGGGTTTCGGTTAGGGTAGCGAGAGGGATTTTTTGTTAGGGTTTGTTGGTTATTTTCTTCTGCGATTGAGTATGGGGAGTGTTGATCGAGATGATAATCGGATTTTTGAGGCGAATTTCACTAACGATGGTGCGAAGAAGTTGGGAGAAATTGTGAAGGAGAAGCTTAAGGAATTCATGGGTGAATACTCAGATGATACTTTTGTGGTACGTTTTTGGATTGTTTGGATTGAATACGGTGTTGATAGATTGTTGCAATGTTGTTGATATTGGGGTTTGTGTTGATATGATGAAATATTAGTGATTCTCTCCTAGTCTTAATGTTTTTGGATGGATTTTATGGTGGAAGAGAGTAATGTAGAATTTTTTTGTATTCCTATTAATTGTTGTTAGCATTGTTAGGGTTTATGTTATGAGATTGTGTATTTTGGAGTGTGAAACTGAAATGGGGATTAAATACTATAATGTATATGTTTGTGTTGTGGATTGCATAGTTTTGGGTTGTGGCTCCTAGAGATTTGTGGTATGAGTTGTATGATGGAAAGAGTTAGGCTGAAAAGTCTTTGTTAGTAGTGTGATGTTGTTTTATAAAAAAGCTTAAGAAGTTATGCATTTTTATTTTATTATTTTGTTATCTTCCTTTCAAAGTTTAGGACATTAAAATACATTGTTAAGAGAAAATGTTTTAAGTCTAAAAGAGCTATTTGATATTTGTATAACACAACAAAAAATACTTTTAACTATAATCTAAACACCGAAGCGGATATTAATCTCAGAAGTTTCCAAAATATTTGAAGCTTGTTGTTTTAATATGTTTGGATATTATTGCTGTTATGGTGGTAGTTGTTGTACATGCTAGTTACTTAGGCTATGTTTGGGTAGTATAAAACGAACTCAGCGGAATTGAGCAGAGTGGAATGGAGTGGAACAGAGCGGAATGAAATAAAAATGTTATTCCATTGTTTGGGTATGGAATGCATTCAATCCGCCCAAATTGGGTACAAAAATTGTGGAATGAGATGGAATGTGTTCAATCCAATTCCGCCCCATTCCATTCTTTTTTTTAATTAATCCAAACGATGGAACATAAAATTTTACCATTTCATCCCATCCCATTCCATTCCATTCCATTCCATCAATTCAAACACACTCTTAATACTAACTATGTATTAAGAGTATAGGCATAGACTGTAAGATGCACTAAAAGTTTCTCATGATGAATTGATTTTGAGTATTAATAAGTCTACACGTGAACTGAGTTATATCTTATTTGATGTGACAGGAATATGTTATTGTGTTATTGAGGAATGGTAAGAGTAAAGAACAAGCAAAGAGTGAGTTGGATGTTTTTTTGGCAGATAAAAGTGATGCTTTCGTGTGCTGGTAATTTCTCTTCAGTTTCACTTTTTTTAGATTAATTTTTTTATAAAAGAAACTGCAGTCTTCACTCTAAAATTCTACGTGCTGATTCATATTCATATCACGTTTACAGGTTGTGGGATCATCTACATTTGAATTTAGCTTTGTATGTGAAACCGAAAAAATTGCAGGATGAAGCTCCCAGAAGGAAGCTTACATCGGAAATTGAAGCTGCGGTTGATTCAAATTCAAAATTAGAAAGAGGAAATTCTAATAAGTTTTCTAGAACTCGGCGTAACAAAGATTGGAAAGGTTTGGTGAGGGGAGAAGCTGAAGCACGGGCACCTACTATCAGCAGCTCCAAGGTTAATATTGCTCATTTAGATGAAAAGGTCTGCCGAAAATTTAACCATGGTCCAAGGTCACCATCTCCTAAACCTGAATCCACTGGTCAGAGGAAAAGGGACAGAACTGATGAAAAACATAGGACAAAGGTTTGAACTACAGCTGCAATATTATACACATACTTTATTCAATTTAAAGTTAATTTAGTAGGTTTCAATAGAGCTTATTGTGCTAGTTTGTATATGTGAGAGACGACGTTATGCAATTGAAGGGTGAAGTTTATAGTTGCCTTAACTATTATCTCACTAATCATCCACTGCTCTTGCATTTTCCTAAATTGATTAGATTGGTGAAATTCATGGAGGAGAAATGCATGAATTGTAGCCCTTATATTCTATTTGCATAGATTGATTCTAGTGTCTCTTTCCATGACTATAAACTGAGAGAAAACAGATGCTAATTCAAATAAAATCACTATTTTTTTTAATTTTTTTTTCCTCTTCATTTTATGTGTTTTTTTCTCTCTATAAAATAGTGAAGTACTCATTGATTCGAATTGGGTAATTTCTACAGCGGGATGTTGCCTCACAAGTAAATGGTGCAGCTTCTCGACGTCTGCTTCAGTTTGCAGTTCGAGATGCAGTGGGTACTTCAAGGACATCAAATCTTGGCAAATCAATGGAGCCTTCCTTAAAACGTCTTCGATCTGTAGTTTCTACATCCTCCGGTGATTCATCTCTGGTTGAACATTATCAGCATGTGCAGCCCACTGCCAGGGTGCCAAATGCAATGACTACAGTGATTAAGGCTGTGGCGGAAGCTGCAGAGGATGTGAAGTCCAAATCCTCAGGAAGTGTATTTGATAGACTTGGTTGTGGTATGGATTCATCAGCTGATAACAGCCAACTTGATTATCAACAGCAGGAGAAAAGTCAATCGATGCATCTTCAACGAACTGATTACGATGGGCAATTTGCTGCACATACAACTATGATTGAACATGAAACTGGTTTTCCCTCTGATTCTAATTCAGATAATGATTCTAATTCAGATAATGAAGGGTGTCATGATTTAAATGTCATAGGCCATGCGGTGACTGGAACTTCTCAGATCAGATCCTCTGTTGGAAACAGGGGCAACGATTCACTCATGGAGCAGTATAGTGTAGCAAAAAATGCTGGCGATAGTTTGTGTCTAAATCAGAATCCAGAACAGGACCAATCTGCTTCTGCACGTAACACTTCCCGTAAAATAGTGAATATTTCTGTTAATGTAAATACTTGGAAGCCGGAGCAGTATCAGGAACCAAGAGTGATTGCAGAATTTAATGGTCATAAAACTTTAGGCAATGAAACTGGAGGTCCCAGATCTAACATGCAACCGGTGAAGGAGAATACACAAGCGATGAAAATTAGTAATGGAAATGTGAGATGTTCATTTATGCTTACTTTCTGAGATACTGGTTTTCTGTTTAAAATTAATGTATAATAGATTTTCCTATTTGAAATTTATATCTTTCTCAACTTTACTCCCTTAACTTTTATTTTTATCTCTCAAACCCCTAAACTTTTTGTTTTATCACTTAACCTCTTAAATTCATTGTGGAGCGGTAGAATTTGTTTTACATGAACCATCAAAAAGTATAACATGCCTAGTTGTATAGTTATTGATTGCTTTCATTTGGTATGACATGATAGGTAAACATTGCTCCTGATCTTCAGAAAGAGTCTATCAAGGCACACTGTACTACTGGTGAGTTTTAAATCTTTGGTAGTGGAAACTCTTCTTTCCGAGATTCACATAAATAGTATTTTTGGCTGGTTAAATAATTTTTTAATGATGAAGGGTATTTTGTATAGTTAAACATTTTGTAATACGGTGTATTTATCTTTAATCATAGATTGTTATTTACCACTTGAAAACTTCATGCATTTATCAGATGTAGATCTGATTGCATCTTGTGCATTCTCAGGTTCTAGTATTGCCGGTCGTCCTTTAGAAGATGTGGATTCCAGAACCATTTTTGTTAGCAATGTAATAACTCTTACTCCTCTGTTCTATTTTTGTTAGCAATGTAATAACTCTTACTCCTCTGTTCTGGGTGGGTGAGGGAAGCCCTCAAAGGTCAGTTTTGGGTTGGGTTTGTTTGATTTCTGATGTTTTATTGTATTTGTTGTCATAGGTTCATTTTGCTGCTACTAAAGATGGCTTGTCTCGGCATTTTAATAAATTTGGGGAAGTGTTGAAAGTGATCATAGTCACTGATGCTGCAACTGGGCAGCCAAAAGGGTAAGATGTTTTGATAGTTTGCATTGCTCATTATATATTCAGCACACTTTGTTTGCAACTTTATTTTAATTTGTGTTTACTTGAGCAGGGCAGCGTTGGTTGAATTCATGCTAATAGAAGCAGCAGATAATGCACTATCTCTAGATGGCACTTCTTTCATGTCACGAATTCTAAAGGTATTGTTCTCAGCTTGCTACCTTGGCACATGTTTGAATTAATGTCCTTACGGGAATAAACATGTTATCACAAATGCATTTTGTTACTTATGGAGGCGCCCGGTCCTTAATAGTCATGTGGAGTAGTAAGTTTTGGTAGTTAGAAGGTAGGGGTACTAAGGTGTGACTATATTAGAGTAGGAAAAGGGATGCCACTCAGACTTGGGCACCGAAAAATTTGTCCGCAATCAAGATTTTGTACCAAGCAAAAAGGACGTGGTTATAGAAATGGGCAATTATTCACAAGATTTTCAGATGTAGGTACTATAGTACCCTCCACCTATGTCCACACTATATCTTTTAGTTTTAGATATTTTTGAATGATATTTGAACCATGTTAATTTATGATCTGAATTTAATTGGCCAATCTTTGAAATTCTTTTTCCGAATGAGTTCAACGACATCAATAAGTTGGAGAGAGTGCTTGTAGCAAGTTCCTATTGTCCCATTGCAAACAATCCACCGGGGTTTGCAATTCCTATTGAAATTTTTATCCATGTGGGTGTTGAGGAGAGACATGTAGTTTGTTTTCGTAAGACACGAGTATGGAAACAGGTACTTATGTACTCCGGTCATACCCTATCTAATTGCCTCTATCTAAGTAGAGAAGATCTAACCACTGTGAGAGTTGGGGCAGGAGGATTTTTCACCTTCGTAGTTTTCCATTGCTACTAGTATACTCTTTAGTTGGTGCTCGTCCTTATTTTTATCATAACTACTAGGTTTCTCTAGTTCCGTGTTATTGGGAGCTAATCTAGTTGATTCAATTTGAGTGGTCAACTAGTTGTTTGTTACTCAAGACATTTTAGTTGGCAAATATTATTTTACATCTCTTATTATGATTGTAATTAATAAATTTTTAAGATGTGTGCTTTACCTTAAACAACACAAAATGTGAGACGGAGGGAGTAGTTTGGTAGAGTTTTAAACAGCCTTTCCTTATATTTCATTCAGTATCTTTGAATCATGAAGCCATTTAGCCATAGCAGTGTCATTTGCATCATTATCTGTAAATTTTTTGAAGCTCAACCTTCTGCCCAACCACAAGTTGGAGATCATATCATACTGTAAGTTATGCAGTTTAAATATCTGGGTCCATGGGGCAAAACGACAGAAATATCTGAGTATGTTTAGTTCGATGTGTGGTAAAACTAGATGGGATAGGATCATAAATGACAACATTACAGAGAGTTGGAGTAGCACCAATAGTAGAAATGATAGTGGAAATTAGGCTTAGGTGGTCTGGAATTTAGCACCAATAGTAGAAATGAACTGAGCGTAACAGAGATGAAGATGTTTAGTTGGATGTGTGGTAAAACTAGATGGGATAGGATCATAAATGACAACATTAGAGAGAGTTGGAGTAGCACTAATAGTAGAAATGATAGTGGAAATTAGGCTTAGGTGGTCTGGGAATGTAGCGAGAAGACCTGTGGATAATATCGGATAGTATGATAACCGCTATTGCAAAGACTCGAGTAAAAACATAAATACTCAAATAGACTAATACACAGTTAAAGAGGCTATCATACTTAATAGTTAAAGAACCTAAATTATAGAGTAGTAATAAAACTGAAGCAGAGAAGAAGAATAAAGCAGAATGAAGCAGAATGAACTAAAAGTAGGAAGAAGAGCAGAACGATTATTTGTGGCAGACCAATAGCATTGTGCCGTACACTACTACTCCTACCTATGGCATTCCACTATTGCGGTGTATAGCATGCTACTGACAACTTTACTGCCTTCCGCCATTGCGGTGCATAGCTTGCTATTGACAACATAGTTGTGGATTTTGTAGGAAGGAGAGTAGATCCGATAAGAATAGTCAAACCTCTAAAGGTAGAGGAAGACCTAGAAAATCTATAAGAGAAACTATTAAGATAAATTTCGAGATTAATGAATTGGATAGAAACATGACTTTTTATGGAATATTATGTCGTAGTTTGATCCGACTTAGTGGCATCAAGCTTGATTTTTGTTATTGTGATTGTTGAACCTTCTGCTCAACACCACCTTTGATGGGGTTGTATGGAAGATCCATAGATGAGACTTGCTCTACATTGCTCCAAATCAGAGGCTTCCTCTGCCATGTAGTAGGTTGCAATCTTCAGCCCAAAAAACCATGCTTCTCCCCATATTTCAAACATCTAATGTTTCAAGTCTTTTGTTTCCAGATGACTTTCACGTATCCTTACAATCTCTTTCGTGAGACCATGAGTGCCAACAATGTCTTTCTTTCTATTATCGATTTCCTGCTGTCCTTTTCCTGCTCTCTGTCAGTTAGGTTCTTGAGAATCTGATTGAGGAAAACATAAACCTCTCTCACTCTAGAAAAGGAGTTTTGTGATGATCAGTGGCTTCCTGACTGGGTGTATTTCGATGGTCTGCACTTTGTGAGATCATTTTGGTGTCTTGTGCTAACATTGTAGAATTAGGTTACCTATATAGTCAAGTTCCTCTACCAATTGCACTCAGAAAACTTGAGTACATTTGTATGTAGACAATTCCAAGTTGACATATATAGCTTACTCCTTTTGCTCTTGACTATATGCAAATAAAAACTCACATTAGGGGATCCATAATATAAATAAATCATAACGAATTTCACTCTCTTAAAGATGTCATTCGTAGAATATCCTTCAATTAATACAAATTTGATATTTCAATAATCATTTTATTTTCGTTGAACTATCTTCCATTAAGGGCATATTGCAGAATACAATAAGTGATTAGATTAAGAAAATTGCTGCACTTTGTGAGATCATTTTGGTGTCTCGTGCTAACATTGTAGAATTAGGTTACCTATATAGTCAAGTTCCTCTTCCAATTGCACTCAGAAAACTTGAGTACATTTGTATGTAGACAATCCCAAGTTGACATATATAGCTTACTCCTTTTGCTCTTGACTATATGCAAATAAAAACTCACATTAGGGGATCCATAATATAAATAAATCATAATGAATTTCACTCTCTTAAAGATGTCATTCGTAGAATATCCTTCAATTAATACAAATTTGATATTTCAATAATCATTTTATTTTCGTTGAACTATCTTCCATGAAGGGCATATTGCAGAATACAATAAGTGGTTAGATTAAGAAAATTGCTGATAACTAAATCTTTTGACCAGCATGAACTACAATCAGTGTAGTCAAGATTGAGTGCTGTGCTATGACTGCCAAAGCGTGCTACGATCACAGATTGTTTGAAGCAAGATCGTTAAAAAAAGTGCTGAATTTTTTTGGGGCCTATAACTGAGTGGAGTTTTTATTAAAAAACCCGATTTACCTTTAAGTGGAAAACCAGTGCTTAATATAACCCTAAACCACAATGTTTTCAAACACAAAAGCTGCCTCTTTTGAGTTTAGTCTTTTGAAAATGATGGTTATGTTTTTTGAAATACTTAAAGATGATGTCTTTTGAACTTGTTAAGTTACAGAATGATGGTTATGAATTATTAGTTAAATTGGTTGAATGTTGTGATTTTAAGGTTATTTTGTCTATACATTATAATTTTTCCCTTCGGTATGATCTTACAGGCCGTGCTACGATCATAGCTTTACTATAATTCACCGGCCGACCGAACGATCCTACTTAAAATCTCGTGCTTGACTGCATCGATCACATTAGCCTTCCATGAACTAAATTATTTGTATTTACTTTTTCACTGCAGGTTGTAAAGAAAAGTGCCGCCCCTCAAGAATCTGCTCCAACCACAACATGGCCACGAGTTGTTAGGGGATCTTCATTTCCTACTGCTAGGTTTCCCAGACCACCCTTTGCAAGAGGTATGCCTGGTTCATTTAGACCTCGCCCCCCAATGAAACTGGGTGCAAGGAGCATGCAATGGAAGCGAGGTGCTCAGACTAATCCAGTGGACAATGCTTCATCAGTGAACACCGGCAATTTTACCATGCCTGCTACTCGCGGTCTCACCTACGTTAGAACACAATCTAAGCCAGAAGGCTTGGGTACGGGTACATCATAATTCAAATATCGAGAGGCTTGGGTACAACATAATTCAAAATATCGAGATGAGATGGTGATAACCGAATGTTACACCTGAGTCTTCATGTCTTATAACATAAAAATCGGTAAAAAAAATATATTAATGTAAGGAGACAGCTGGATTAATTTCTGAATATTTCTTCTGTACATGGAGGATATTTGAATATTTAGATTACTAAGATATCTATTTAGGTAGTAGACCGCATTTAATAATGTCTATTTTTGGTCTTCGGCTGAAGCTACAGAAGAGGAGGGATGTTTATTTCTGGAGAATCTGTTTCTCTGTTTTTTTGTTCTCTAAGTGTTATTGGTGAAAGATTTAATAAACAAAAAAAAAGGAAAAAGGAAAAAATTGAGTATCATTGGACGACTTCATTTACTTCATTGCTATTGTTAATGTAATTATTTTATTCTCTCTGTAATGTTGCAGTTGTGTGTTTGCTGTTGATGGTGCTTTGTTTTTCTCTTATCTGTGCTTTTTAACCAAACAGCAGTTTAGTTGCATTTATCAAAATGCATCCAAAGTTTTGGGGGAAGATACTACTTGTTCTATTTCTTTGTTACTAAAGTATTGACTATGTATGGGGCTGTTTGGATCAGATTATTTAAGTTTATATTTTCATAAGTTTTGTAGTTTATGCGAGTTTATTTATAAACCTTTATTTTGGTAAGTTTCAAAAAAATTTAATGGCAAAATAATATGTAACATAAAAAGGTGGCAAACCACCATATTATACTAGATAGATTTTCAAATGTGTCAAATTGATCATTAAAAGAAAAACGGAAATACAACAATGAAAAACAAAAAACCACAAAAAAAAAAAAAAACAAGATCTAAGATTCTAGATGAAGGAAATTTTACCCATACCTCAATATTTATTCTCTGAAATTTTTTCTACAATAACCATAATTTTCAAGTTAGTTACACAAATAATCAAAATTTCAAAATATTTATCTAAATAACTTAGTTTGGAATTGTAAGGCAGGGTTGTCACCCTACATGGCGATAATGTGTTAGAATTAGGTGAACACATCATGAGAATGATGTATATGTGTAAGGGTTTTCAAATCTAAATCAATCCAAATAAAAAAATTGAAAACCGATTTAAAAAATTGAAAATTGTAAAAAATCGAAATTTATTGGATGTGTTTGGATGTCACTTTGTGAAAACTGATCGGTTCGGATCGGATTTCGGATTAATTTTTCAAAATCGATTCAAATTAAACCGAACCCGCGTACGTATATTTTTATACTTATTTATTTTTTATTAGTATGATATGTTACATGAATTTATTATTTGATGACAATAATTTTTTAATAATATTTATTAGTTTGGTATAATCTATTTATTTTTATTATTTCAACCATAATCGATCAATCTCATTTTATAATATTGACTTTTAATATATTATATGTTATATATTATATCAAATCTATGATTTATTATTAATTTTATAATATTAATAAAAATATAATGTATAATTTAGATATCCAAAAACCGATTCAAATTAAACCGCATAAAATTGGATAGGATTGGATTGGATTTTTTATTATTGTTTAAATAAAAAATAATTACATTTGGGGATTAAGAAATACATATATTTTTAATATTTTGGATCACCGTAACGACCATCAGTTATATACTGTAACGCTTTCTTAACTCTTTGACCCACAATCCTTTGAGTTTTTTATTGTGTCTGGGTCGATGGCGCTCTTTTAATTCGTTGACGCGTAATCTTTTGAGGTTCCTGTTGTGTTTGGGTCGATGGCCCTTGTAATATCTGAATGTGTTTATAATATCTTAATATTATATAGTTACAAATATCAACACTCTCCCTCAAGTTGGAACATATAAGTCAAATGCACCAAGTTTGCCACATATATAATTAGTTCTGGGATTTCGTAAAGATTTTATAAACACATATGCCAATTGATCATTATAGTTGACAAAGTTTGTGACGATGTCGCCAGATTCAATCTTTTCTCAGTGAAAATCTATCTCAATATGTTTGGTCCTCTCATGAAAGACTGGATTTGAAGTAATGTGCAATGCAATTTGATCATCACATACAAGTGTCATTGGTCTTGCTTCTTCAATTTGAGGTTCTTTGAGCAACTGTTTTAACCAAATGAGTTTACATGTTGCCATTGTCATGGCATTATACTCTTCCTCGACGCTTGATCTTGCAACTACATTTTTTTCTTATTTTTCCAGGATATAATATTTTCTCCAACAAGTACACACACTACTACAAAACACGTATATAACAACACCATATTCACCACGATTCTTCCCTACACCGTGGTAAGATCTCTAAACTAAGGTGCTCTCATATTATTTTTATTTTTGGTTTAAAATTAATTGTATATAACAACGGTTGATGAATCAACCGTGATGAAATCATCAAGCTTTCATGAGTTCGAACCTCAGTGCCATCATATATATTATTCTATTAATATTAAGACACACTTTTTCTTTTTTATTTATTTTTAATAAAAAACTTAAAGGGTTATGACTACGGTTGGTTCGTTCCACCGTTGTGATATAATTTATTTTTTTATTTAAAAATTTTAATTGTAAACTAAACTCTGGCTTTTCTTTATGAAATTTCACTATGAAAGTAATATATCATAACAGTTTCTGGTTTTAACCGTGGTGGCATCTTTACAATATTATACACTTCTAGTTAGCTTGTCTCTTCAGTATCTTTTTTTTTCATTGAAAAAAGAAATTAGACGAAACAATACACGATTTCAACCTTAAACCCTAACGTTCAATACTGCGAAACAATACACGATTTCAACTAAAACACCATTGTTCACCCTAGCTTGTCTCTTTAATATCTATTCTTCACTGTATATTTGTCATTTTCGTCATCATCGTCAAGGTTGACAAGACCATCACGATCGTGACGTCGAGAAAGAAGAGTACACCAACCAAGTTATCACCGTCGAGAAGGAAGACAACAACAACACCGTCATTATCGTAAGGAATGAAGATAACACCAACACCAACACCAATATCACTTACTTAGTCATCACATTTAGGATACGTAAATATTTTCTCCATGCATCTACAGTAAACTTTATTTCTCATTGTTGTGGTTGTTGTCGTTTATGTTGTGGTTGTTGTTTATGTTCTTGTTGTTCATGTTGTTGTTGTTTTTGAACGTAGATATCGACCTTGTCGAGTTCTTCATCAGATACTAGCGAAGAATATCAAACAAACGAGTGTTGTGTGAATAAAACTCAAACAAATGATACTCAATCAAAAAGATTCCAAAGAGGTGTCACAATGATGTCCCAATTCACATCAGTCTGCAACTCATCATGTGAAAAAACTCTTATCGAATTTGATTCATTCTACAGAGTAGTTGATTATGAATATTACTCTATTTTTAAGAGTTATGTTACATTCCTTGGACGGAGTAAAGTAAGTATATTGATAGATGATTGGAATCAATTGGATGAGAAACTCAAAGAAAGCATATGGACAGACGTTAAAGTATTACATACTATAATTTTCATATATTAAATATCACTACCTATAATTTCCAATACATTGATTTAAATTTAGTTGAATTTTGAGTTTACCGATGACTCAAAGTTGAAGAAAAAGTGGATCTCTTATGTCGATACTTGTTGGAGGGGATTTAAGTCACGGCTCATGGCTGACTACATTACGAAGCCTAAGAGTGGTCTTGATCTTCCATGGAAAAGATATAGTTTTATATTAAAGAAGAAATGGAAGAAGTTTGCGAAGGTACGTCGTTCTAAGGAATTCAAGGTTAATACTAGTCTTATTTAACCGATAATATTATGCTAATAAATTATAGATATTAATCATATATATTATTCACTATGTTAAAAACAACTTAAAAGCAAAGTAGGAATATGAAACAAGGCAAATAACATGTACCCACATAGATTGTCTCGTGGGGGTTACAGGAAACTTGAGAAAAGAATAATGCTTGAAAAACAATCACAAACAGGAGATGATCACATCCCATCCCCACCGTCAATAAATGAGAAATGGAAAAGGGCTCGATTAAGACCAAATGGAGAGTACACCTCTGAGACAGCAAGAGTAGTTGTCGAGAATATTGTAAGTATGATTTATTTTGCTTATGTTATTTCTTATTTAAATGTGTTGGTAACAATATACATAAGTTGCTCATGTTGTGTAGGATAAGTTGGTTGAGGCGACTCATGATGGCGTATTTGTTCTAGAAGCGCGACATGACATATTAGTAGAGGCAATCAGAACAGATGAGCATGGTGGGCGTGTCTGTGGTGTGGGAAAAGGTGCCGGCTTGAGGTTATTCTTTGGGTCTAAAAAAAGTACTGAAAGCTCGGAATTGAATTCACAAAAACAAAAGATTGAAAATTTTGAGAAGGAATTAGAAGAACAAAGGAGGATGTTAGACGAGGAGAGGGAAAAAGGGAGAAAAATATGGAAAGGTTTCAAGAGTTATATTTGGTATGTGATTTACTTGAGATTTTAGTGTTTTATCGGAGATGTATGATATATATTGTGCTTATTTTTATTCTAACTGAATATTATGATGTAGAGATTAAGGGAAAACCTCGAACAACATACAAATGAAGATCAACATTATGTTGATGGTGATGATGATCATGATCATGATCAAACTCCAAGTAGAAGTGTTGTACGTCATGCTTCTACAAAAGGAAGTAATTGTTCAACCCCCCCTCCAGCTAACCGTAATGAGTTATTGGACCCTAACTCAAATAAAATCACCATGTTATACTTGAAAGTTGTGGTGATAAATGATACAGAACCTCTCCCGTTAGAACATTGTCCATGTGTGGAGTCATTCTATTACAGTCCAGAAGATGTAAGGGATTTTTTCAGTGGATATAAGTGGCTAGGCGTAGGGATATTACAAGTTTGGTGCACATAAGTATATAGTTGAATGATGTCATTATAGAACATTATCATTTTTGGTATTTTCTCA